CCCGCGAGTATCGCGGGTCCCCCCTTGTAATAAACTACTATTGATGGCACCAATAATTAAACTGCTCCCGGAGGCTCCCTATATACATGCAGGTAGATGTAACTAGAATTGAGGAGGGCAGGCAGATGACATCAATTCAAGATGGAAACAATGCAGATGGAACAAAGCAACAGAGCAGCAGAGCAAGGGGAGGCCATTACAATTTGGATTCGCATCACCTCAGCCATAGGCCTGGCAGAACACATCTGTTTTACAGGCCCTGTGGAACTGCATTAAGTCCTGCAGGGCCCGGATCTCACTCAGGAGACTGTTCCACCTCCCAGACTGCATAGGATTTTAAAGGTTAAAACCATTTTAAAAAATCCTAAGGTTGATTGTGGATAACTGTATGCACAATATAATTTAATTTCAATATTGTGGTGACTTGTAGGAAAATTCTGGAACAGGTGTTTCTGCATCAGAGGAGCATCCTGCCTCTGGAGAAGTTAGGTCTGGGAAGTGGAAAGTGCCTACATATAAAGATTACCTGGATCTTTTTAGAAGTTTACTGAGTTGTGATACAATGAAGGTAAATAATGCTGAGATATATTGTCTGATAGAGAATTACTTTGCTCAAATGCATTTTCCCGTCTTTTCTATGTAATTTCTTGTCTACCGATAGCTGTATCTGTCTGATTCTCCCTGTTCTTCCAGGTTTCTGAAATGCTACTATAGCTGTATCTATGGTGTTAATCCATTTGTGCTTCTGTATCATCTCCAATGCATTTTCCCGTCTTTCCTGTGTAATTTCTTGTCTCCCGATAGCTGTATCTGTCTGATTCCCCCTGTTCTTCCAGGTTTCCGAAATGCTACTATAGCTGTATCTACGGTGTTAATCCATTTGTGCTTCTGTATCATGTCTTCTGAGACATTTGTGTATTTAATGCGGTTCATAATTTAGGAATAACTTTGGCCTTTTATCTGAATTAACTTCTTTTCTTCCACAAAGGACTCTCTGTTGGCAGATGAAACTTGTCTAATGGCAAATTCACCACTACAGTCTCTAAGTCGTTTGTTGTATGATGAGCTCATAAAGTCAATCCTAAAAATAATTGAGAAGTTGGAACTTACAGTTCAGAAACAGAATGTTAACGACGCAAAGGTAAAATATTAATTCGCAATAAAAGATAATTTTGCCACCTTTTTCCTATACAATTTCCTTAGTATAACCTGCTTAGTATTGCTTAGTATACCTGAGTATAATTTGCTCATGTTCACATATAAAATCAACGTTCATTTCATGTTATTCATAGGTCTTGTTTTAATTACATTTGATATGGTCCCTTTGACCTACTCCAGTCAGCATTCTTGTCACAGCATTCTATACCAGTTGTAGTTTCCGAACAATCCTCAAGGGCAGTGCCGCATAGAGTGTACTGCCATAATGTAATCTAGATCTCACCAGGGCATGCTCCACACTGGGAAGATTCCCCCCCCCCACAAAAGGCCCCAAGCTGGCTTCTAGAAGGTGCTGCCATTTGCTTAGCCACGAAGAGGCCCAGGCCAAGTAGCACGCCCAAGCTGTGAACCTGCCTCTGTAGGGGGAGAGTACAGCCCCATCCAGGAGACTTCTCAGTTGCTCTATCTACAAGTAGCATCTCTGTCTTATTGTGATTAAGTTTCAGTTTATTATCCTCATCCTTCCTCAAACTGTCTAGCTTCAAATATGAGTGTTCGGTTACAGAGCAGTTGACAAGAATGCCTTTATTAAATAGATTGTACACAGATACTGTGATCAAAAAGATATTCTTACTCAATATTAAAATCTGTTTATTAAAACTAGTGGCTTGTTTTAAAAACTGTAGACATGATGGGCCTCCACTTTGACTCATTTGGTGACACTGGTTATGGAGAACGCCAAGATTTGTAGCAGATTATTCCAAATAGTTCAAATTGTAGTAGGCCACAAACAGCAGCTGTTTGCCAATTGCACAGTGTACCTGCAGAGCAGGGAAAAAACATGTCTGCTGCCAACTAAAAGATATGTTGCCTTTATTTCCACCCTCCACAGGATGCAAATGAAGCTGATGCTGATCTCACAATTCCTACTTCTGATCCAGCCGCAAACCTTCATCCTACCAAGCCTAAAGATTTTACAGCATTCATCAACCTAGTAGAGTTTTGCAGGTATGATATATTCTGTGTATTTAAAGGAAGCATCAAGCAGAGTTGTAAATTACACTATGCTGTGCACTGAGTTAGTCTGACTCCCTCAGTTGGTTACAGAGGTAGCCAAACCCTGCTTAGCCTCAATTTTATCTGGGAGCTGGAGACTACATGGCCCCATGGACTAAGTACTTCTTCACTCAAATAGCAATTTACTTGTAGAATTCACTGGCATAAGGTGTAAACATTGCCAATTTAATTGGCTTTAAAAGGGGATTAGACAGATTCATGGATGATAGTTTACCAGTGGCTATAAGCCATGTTGGCGCTGCGGTGGCTCAAGTGGTTACACCAGGAGCGGGGATTGTGTGTGATCAAGCGTATAGTCCTAAGCAAGGCTCAGAGGCCAAAGATTGCCCCTCATTGTTACCTCCCAGAACTGGTTACTACCTTTCATGTTCAAAGGTAGTAACCAGTTCTGGGAGGTAACAGTGGGGCTCTAATTAAGGCTCTAGCGGTGCTTAATTAGATTAGATCAGACAAAGCTGCTCTTATGTTCATTCTTCATTAGCTGGCAGTACTTTCAAATGGTTGGAATACTTGTAGTGACTTGGAATGGGATGAGCGGTATCTCCTAGCAGATAGAATAGTGTTGTAGGATGTAGTATAGTGTCTGGGTTATGCAGAAACTTGGGATGGCACAGCGGTACAGTGAGATACAGCAAGTTGGTGGACTGGACACTTAAGAAGTTGCTTTTCTTACCTGTAAGTTTGTCATTGATGGATCTTTGTTAGGAAAGTGACAAAGACCAGTATTAAAGATGTATAAGCCCAGGAAACCCACAGTGCGTCTCCTTCCCCACCTCCTTTTTTTTTTAGTTTTCAATTTTTCTTTGAGGATTTTTTTTCCTGTGGGGAGAAAGTTTTGGGAAACATTGAAAGTGGTGGTGATAATAGGAGCCAGTTTACTGTATTTGGTACTTCCATTATTCTGTAGACAAGTAAAACTGTCCTTACTTGCTGTCCTGGAATATAGGCAGAGTAAGGCAACAGAGCTAGATCACAGTCAAGAGTCCAGTCCAGGGGTCAGATACCGGTTTAGCAGCAGTCAGAGTTCATGGGTTGTCCAGGAAAGCAGAGTCAAGGCAGTCCGAGGTCATTGGTCAGCAAGGTTCAGGCAGGTCTAAAAAGCAGAGTCGGGTCAGTCCAAAGGTCACAGGAGGCATGCAGAGTCCGGAGCTGTGGTTGCAGAGTTCACAGGGTTGTGACAAGTTGCTTCCACAATCTGCAGATCTCCAGGTCTGATTTATGTAGGCATTCCTTAACAAGCCTGATTTACAGCCATCTGCTTGGACATACTCCTGCACTTACTCAGAACTGCTATCATTAAGCAGCCGGCACCAAGCCAAGAGGCGAGCACTCTGTCTGCATGTTTTTAAGTCTTGTCGGAGCCTTTCCCTTCGCTGTTCAATTTACGAAGTGGAGCCTGGTGGGCTACTTTCCTGCAGCTGTGCTTCGTGGGCTACTTCAGAGTGGTGTCAAGGTCATCTGCCCGCAATGAATCTTTGAGGCTCCGGTATCTCCAATTCACTAACTTGAGCTAGTTCAGAGCTGCCTGCCTGTGGTTCCTCGATTCCTGAGGAGTCTTCAGTCACGCTGGACTCAGGCTGGTCAAGCTGGCCCATGACACCTGCTTCAGATTCTTCTGCCTTCTGCAATTTATGAAAGAAGCTGATCCATGCATCAGATCAATAAATAAGCATAGTTTTAATTGCATCAATATACTTTCTTTAGTCTTGAATTTAGTGTTTTCAAAATATATATCATTAATGTTCAAACTCTGTACATGGTAATAGAGACTAGGTCAAGCATGGCTGTATACCAAATAGCCATTCCCACTCTCACTGTGTGTTCTCTCTTCTTTGTCTCCCTTTACTCTCTTTCTGTGTCAGTTCCATGAAAGTTTGTCTACTATTAGCTTTCTTCCTCCTCTGTCTATTGTTTTTGTACGATTTGTCAGGCTGGGACTGTCTTCCTCTTTCTGTATGAGAGCACTTAACAATTCAGAGCCCTCTTACTAATTCACTTGTGCAGAGTCTCTTCTGGATACCTTTTTCTGTGCTTTCTGCTTTTAGTTACACTTCTTCTGTCCCTCTGTATTATTCTGTTAACAAGTTTCCACTCATGATTACCCTGTCTGCCTTAAGGGATTTACAGTGCTATCCTGTTCAGTTCTGCACCTGTCTAAGCCTGTTACCTTCAGTGCACTTTTTGTTGTTCAGTCGCACAGTCGAGTCCGACTCTTTGGACCACATCACGCCAGGCCCTCCTGTCTTTCGTCATGCTCCGGAAGTGCACTTAGAAGGGTATAACTCTGCTTAGGATTGATTGAACTGTTTGTGTTAGTGCCAAAGTAGAGTTTAAGGAGAGGTTCTTGGAAAAAGGAAGCAATGATGCACATCATGTGACATTTATATATTTACTGTACCATTAAATATTAAATGGCAGTAATAGTGCCATTAGCTGTTGTAGATTTTCAGGGCTGTATGGCCGTGGTATTGGCACTGTAGGACCTGACGTTTCGCCAGCAGCTGTGACTGGCATCCTCAGAGTTATAACACAGAAAGATGGAGTCTGTGTCAAGGTGAGAAGAAAAATGGTAGGCAGGTAGTTTATATCTACTCAGGTAGGTGGCCAAGACCACAGCCATACAGCCTGGAAAATCTACAAGAACTAATGAACTCCATCCATGAAAGCCTTCGACAACATATTAATAGTACCATTCTTTGAATTCTGCTATGGATTGCTTGTTTTCCATTGTCACTATCATCTTCACATTATTTCTGCGTTTTCCTGATTGAAAGCTGCTACAGCTTATCATTGGTCTGTTTAGAATGGTTTGCATTCTCACTCTTTGCAGTGTAGAATGATGGTTTCCCTGTTGCTTTTCTCTTTATTTTCACAGAGAGATCCTTCCAGAGAAGCATATTGAATATTTTGAACCATGGGTGTATTCCTTTGGTTATGAACTGATCATACAGTCAACACGTTCACCTTTTATTAGTGGATTCTACAAGCTACTTTCCATTGCCATGAAAATTGCTAAGAAAATAAAATATTTTGAGGTGAGAAAATCATGTATAGTAGAAGAATCTCTTTCTAAAGTGTTAAAGCTAGTGTTACTGTTCTGCTGAGCATTGCATTCCTTTATGTATGTGTTGAGTATAATTGTGATTCCTTCATTTTAATAGCTAAGGGGAAAGTTGTCCATGTACATAAATCACGACCAGACCAGAAATTAAAAACAAAACTCCCCCTGTTTGGGTGTCCTGTAAGAGCTGATATCCAAAATGAACAGAGAACAAACACTACGTTTCTTAGTTACTAGGGTCAGTTTTTGGAGACTTTGCTCTTGAAGCTGAATTTTATTGTTTTCTAGAGATTTTGTAGCTATAGTTTTCCATCCTTACAGATTTAGTTTAGTATGTTTTTATCCTCTCCTAGCAACAGCCTATGAGAGTAGGTTGTGCAGAGAGAGAGAGAGAGAGAAAGTGACTAGCCCCAGTTCGCTCAGCAGGCTTCATAGCAGATTGGTGAATTGAACCTGGATCTCCCAGATCCTGGACCAGCACTAGAATTATGCCACCCTGGCTGTCTAGGGGCCCAAACTGTCTGTCCCTTAAAATTGTGTTTCAAGGATCATTCTGTGGCGTTGTGCACATCCTACACCAGCCTGTTCCCTCCCATGTGTTATAGTTCCCTGCTAGCCTTAATCATAGTTAGTTATTTTGTCTGCAGCCAATATTAACCAGGTTTGATACAAATAAAAGTTTGTTCTTAGGTTTTGAAATTCCTTTCGAGTTCTGACTTAACGTTGGGGCAGATATAACAAAGCATGGTTAAGCTAATGTATAGCAACATGTAGTCCCATGAATAGTTTTGACACTCTTTTTAGAAATGTTATTTGTAAAATTTTAACAAGGATGTGTGGATCACATGCACATGACTTGGAGTACATTGCTTGTTTATGAATAATCCCATTATCCAGTTGCTTCTTGTATTATTGTATTGCATTAGAATACTGAAGTATGACAAAATCTGTACCATTCTGCATATTCTTATGTTTGACAGGGTGTTGCTCCAAAAAGTAAAAAAAAGTGTCCTGAAAATCCTGAGAAGAGTTCCTGCTTTGCATTATTTGCAAAATTTGGAAAAGAGGTGATCAGTTTTCTGTGATCTCTAATGTATGTATTGAAAGAGTCTTGAGGTTATGGACAAGAGAGAAACTTGTGACTATATGACTTTCCCGGACAGTTTCAAGCATAAACTGTGTGCTTTGTACCGATTGCATTACTTAAATACAAACACACAGACTTTGCATCAGATGACTCCTCACTCAGATTACTTCTATTTAGGCATGTCAGGGCTGAAATGTAAGTCATCAACCTTTTTTTAACATAAAAAATGGTTGATTTTAATGGATCTAAGAAAGAATTCTAAGAATTGGAGTTTTAACCTACTTCCTATAGCAAGAGCTCCTGCACTAAATGTAGGACTGAGTCTCAGCGGTAGAGCATCTGCTTTACATGCAGAAGGTCCCAGGTTCAGTCCCTGGCATCACCAGTTAAAAGGTAGTCCCATGTGGAATGCTGGAGAACTGTTGACAGTGAGGGTAAACAGCACTGACCCTAATAGATCAGTGGTGTGACTCAGCAGAAAACAACTTCATGTGTCTTCAAATTAGTATTTCCCAGGATTATTTATTTTAGGTGATTCATTTGCAATGTGTGCTAATATGACGCATTTCTCACATTAGGTAACAGCAAAGATGAAGCAATACAAAGATGAACTTTTAGCATCATGTCTGATCTTTGTGCTTTCCTTGCCACATGACATCATCATGCTGGACATCAAGGCATATATTCCTGCTTTGCAGGTGTGTCACGGTGAATGAGTAGCATAGCCGTTTTGTGGGTTTAAGCCCTTTTTCTTTGTTTTTATTTATACAAGATGCATATTTAGATTGTGAGCATTAATGTCTGTACCAGTGGGTGAATTAATAGGCATATGTATGGTAGCTTTATTGTGAATAATTGTTAGCCCATATATCTAACCTGTAACTCATTCCAGAAGCAGGTTTACTTAAACTGTAAGACATTAGTTGCGCATTTTCCCAGAAGGAAGATGAATCTGAATGTAAGACGATTCCACAGGGAAAAAAGGTTACATACAAAAGGGTTTTATTATTATATGTGAATTTAAGATGGCCCCTTCAGCACGAGAAAAAAATGTAGTCTTTTAGGTGAATAGGATATTTCATCAGAATGGCAGATGGAAATTTCTGCAATCCAAAGATGAGCTTCAAAACACCTAACGGTTTTCTTTATGCTCACGGAATAGAATGCTTTCAAGCTGGGACTCAGCTATACACCAATGGCTGAGGTGGCACTGGATGCTCTGGAGGACTGGTCAGCTCACATTCCTAGATACACAATGCAGCCTTATTACAAAGATATCTTGCCTTGCCTTGATGGTTATTTGAAAACTTCTACATCAACAGGTACATGTTAAAAAATGAATACAGGAAATTGGAAATTATATATTTAAGAAAAAAATTTTGTATACTTGTGGTGGACCAATTTGCAGAAATCATTGCCTTTTGGAATGTCTTTGTTGTTAGTTTATCTATGCTGGCATCTTTTTTCATAGCCGAGAGCTTTTAGTTGATTCTGTAATAGAAAATTAATATGTATACATTCTGTACTGTCAGCGGTTCACAAATTTTGGTTTGGTTCAGTAGTTATTTATTTATGCATTTATCTATTTGTATTTTTATGCCCACCTTTCTCCTGAGCATTTCAGGACCCCAGTCAAAGTTTCTTTTTCAGCCTTTAAAGTCACAGTGATTCTCATCTCATTAGAATTGTTATGGCTATGCTGATGTTTCTCTTGCAAACTGAAGTATATCTTGAAACTGGGCTGGAGTGCCTCCCATTGGAAGGATGAAATCACACAGTCCTGTCTTTGTGGCATCCCTCCTAGTGTTTTTTTCTCTTTGCATTCAACACCAGCCTATGAAATAGCATAGCACTACTACTACTACTACTACTACTGTAGTACAAAATGATATATTACCATGAAAGCACAAGATAAGATAATTATTACTGTAAATATCATACATGGGCATTAATAAATTGTTTCTTATAAATTAGATGACTCTCAGAACAACTGGGAAGTGAAGAAACTTTCACAGGCTGTCCAGAAGGGGTCTAACAAAGTCGTGATACAGCGTCTGAAGAAAGCAAAGAGTCTTGCACTGGTAAAGTTTCCTTGTATTCATCTAGAGTATTCACCTTCTGAATTGGAAGACAAAAAAAGTGGTTATGCGAGTACCATTCTGTGCTTACTTGCATGATGCATAAAAGAGGATCTTTAGTGTAAAGAAATAATGTGCTTGCAGCCAAACACCCTGAGTAGGGAACATGCATAGCACAGTCTGGATTTGTCATGATTAGTCTTGAATGTAAAGCTTCTTTATAGTTCACAATAGGATGTTTTTCACAGTGGAATATTTTCTTGTGTGATATTTGAATAACACGTCATGCCTTACTGTGATCAGTTGGACCCGGGTCCAGCAGCACCTTAGAGACCAACAAGATTTTTAGGGCAGAAGCATCTGAGAGCCAGAGCTCCTCTCATCAGGTCTGATTAACAGAGTTTTGACTCTTGAAAGCTCATACCATGAAAATCTTGTTGGTCTCTGAGGTGCTGCTGGACTTGGATCTGGCTCTTCTGCTGCAGACCAGCACAGCTACCCTCCTGAAACTATGATCAGCTGCTAAATATATACATCTGCAGTTAGATAGCTTTTGGATAATGAACAAAAAGCGAAGGTCACAAGAAACTATTGCAAAAAACAAGAAACTATTGCAAAAAACGCAAAGAAGCTGCCACACAGAGTGCTGCAAAGTGTAAATATATTAACACATACAAATGTCACAGTATATCAAAGTAGATAAATATTATTCAAAGAGTCCTTTTTAAAGAATCATAAGAAGACATTGACGAAATTCCCCGGAGTATGCTTCCATTTCGTACTGTACTTCTTCTGAACGTAGTCAGGTAAACAACATTTGTGTCCTCCAGTTATTCATTCATTATGGATTGCAATCATTCAGAAAAATATTCAAGATGGTCCTCATCCATTATTCTAAGTAACTCTCAAAGACGGGCATGCTGACATAACACGATCATAGTAGGAAGAATTAATAAATACACTGCACCATCCAGAAACATATAAGATTCAGCAGCACTGTGTAGATGTAACTGCAAGTCTGGATGAATTGTCACTTTAATAACATATGAGCAGCCTTCCTGGATGAGACTAAGGAGCAATTGTTTCTCATGCTGTTTCTGAACAGTACCAAAGAGATGCAGCCTTCAGGAAGCCCACAACTGTGCATGAAAGTAATACTCTTCCCCCATATTTTACTTACAGATTAAATTTTAGAAGTCCAGCTTCTCATATTCGCAGGAATATTGCCATCATGGCTAATAGCTTCCCCATTTTGGAAGGCTGAATTGAATTTGTTACTAGGTTGTACGTGAAATTGAAGAAAGGATAAAATACAGTGGGTAGATAATGTTTTGTTTGTGCAACCACAACATATCATGACAGTTACTTCAGTGTGGTAAAATCAGTGTGTCAGCAGTTTTCAGTGCCTTCATGGAATTAGGATCTGGGAGATGTAGGTTGGAGTCCCCACCGTGCAATGGAAGCTTGCAGGGTGACTTTGGGCCAGTCGCCCCTTTTCATCCTAACCTTCCTTATGGGGTGGATGTTGTGATAATGAGATGGAGAAGAGCATAATATTGCAACCTGCTTTCGGTCCCCATGACAGAGAAAAGCAGAGTATAAATATCTAAATATTAAGCAATTTGAGGGAAGCACATGGTTTAAATTCTTACAAATATTTTCCCAATACTAATACATTCTACTTAAAGCTCTTAATTTGTTTGAGTGTAACATTTAAACCACATTTGCTTTATTTTTTCCTAATCAAATATTTCACATCAAGTATTTGTTGCTGTTGGGGCATAAGATTAATTCTTAAATTTTGTTTACTAAATATATGTCAAAATTAACATGCGAAATCAGATCATGCTATTTAGGGCATTAAAAATTTTCTGGAAAGCTTTCCAATTCAATTTTTTGGGAAAGCCCGCATGACTTGTTTGAAACATTGGAGCTCTATAGAATTCTGAACAAGAAATTCTTATTTTTTCCTCCTTGCTTTCTAAAACTCAACATGCAAAATGCTTTTAGACTAAAGACGACTTAAATAGGCATTTCTTCATTTATACATGTATGTTGTTCCTTTCTTGCAATTATATTTTTATATAGGAAGAGGATCATTCACTGGAAGCCATAAGAATGAGAGTGGCCTGCCTTCTTGGATCTCTGGGAGGACAGATCAATAGGAATTTAGTTACAGGTGAGGCCTAAAAACGTGTCTCTAAATGTATAAAACTAAACCAGCACATTTTGAGACATCAGTTTCTGTGCCCACTGATGCATGAGAGAGGAATGTGACCAGGACCACCTTGTCTTCACTGCTTCCCTCTCCTCTTCCCTGCAGCAGCCCCAAATGCCCTGCCATGCTACTCTTTAGGGATATGGGGGCCCCAGGAGGAAGAATGAAGGAGAGTCAGAGGTCTGCAGCAGGTGGGGTGGATCAGCAAGAATTGTCCATTCTTCCATTTGTGGGAATCCTCCACAGGATCTAACCTAAAGTTTTTAAATTTAAAACTGGGCAGGACATTTGCAAGATCATGGCTTATGTGTTTTTTTCTTCTCCTGTGCTTGCCATTTTGTGTTATTTTGGAGACTGGCCAGGTTCCTGGAACGTGTGCATTTGGCTTCTCAGTTAGTGTTGCTCAAAACACAGTTGTGTGTGCAAATGATTTGCTTTTGTCTTTGATCAGAGCTCACACATGACTCTGGGAGTTGTATGAATGGGGCTTCCAGGTTTTTTTCCCTTGAAAAAAAATCACACATGGGTTAGAATGAAGTACCATGTTCTAATCGGAATCATTATGGGGGCGGGATAAGCCTCATGTTTTGCTAATCTACCTGCTGCTGCTTTGGTTTCATACTTGAGAATATCGGTTGGGTTTTTATTCTGCTTAATTTATGTATCTAAACACTACTGCAAGCACTTCAGGAAGGCAGTTAATGACCTGAACGTTGTTGTGTTTTGTTTTCAAGTCACAGCTGACTTAAGCAACCTTGTTGGGTTTTCAAGGCAAAAAACATTCAGAGGTGGTTTGCCATTGCCTGCCTCTGTGTCACAACCCTGGTATTCCTTGGAGGTCTCCCATCCAAATGCTAGCCAGGGTCCACCCTGCTTAGCTTCCGATATCTGGCAAGATCAAGCTAGCCTGGGCTGTCCGGATCAGGGCAACCTGAATATATGGAGTCTTTTTTGAATGTATACATTTCAGCTACAGAAATTATGTAGGACTAGATCCTGCAAATTGACTTCTTCACCCAGTGTGCTGCTTTGGAAAAACTTGCAGTATTATTCCATTGTGTTGTTGTTGGTTGTTAGTAATTGCTCGCTTAGGTGCCTAAAAGTGCATTTCTAGGCAGAGCTGATCTAGTTTATGTAATTTTGCCTAGCATTTCACTGTAATTTTTTGATACTCTGTGACACAGCCCAGCTTCATAATTATATCTCTAAAATTAGGATGTTTTGTTGAGAAATGCATCACTAGCAAGGTTAGCCAGGGTCCACCCTGCTTAGCTTCCGATATCTGGCAAGATCAAGCTAGACTGGGCTGTCCGGGTCAGGGCAACCTGAATATATGGAGTCTTTTTTGAATGTATACATTTCAGCTACAGAAATTATGTAGGACTAGATCCTGCAAATTGACTTCTTCACCCAGTGTGCTGCTTTGGAAAAACTTGCAGTATTATTCCATTGTGTTGTTGTTGGTTGTTAGTAATTGCTCGCTTAGGTGCCTAAAAGTGCATTTCTAGGCAGAGCTGATCTAGTTTATGTAATTTTGCCGAGCATTTCACTGTAATTTTTTGATATTCTGTGACACAACCCAGCTTCATAGTTATATCTCATAAATTAGGATGATTTGTTGAGAAATGCATCACTAGCAAGGTTGGGTTTAAAAATCTGGTTATTAATGTAACATTTTTTGTGCTTTCTTCCAAATATGATAGCTGCTTCTGCGGAGGAGAGGATGAAGAAATTTGTGTCTTGGGACACAGAGAAGCACCTGAGCTTTGCAGTACCATTTGCTGATATGAAGCCTGTTATCTACTTGGACGTATTCTTGCCTCGTGTCACTGAATTGGCTCTTTCTGCTAGTGACAGGCAGACAAAGGTACTGCTTTTCTAAATTTTCTTGATATTGAACAAAAACTTTTAAGGCAGATACTGTAAAGAAAATTTGAGCAGTGGCTGTGTGCAGTGTGCAGTGGCTAAACTGTGTAGCATGAACACACAACGAATACTCTTCATGTGTCTAGGTTAAAACAGGTACCATAAACTGCATCACATCAGAAGAAGGAATCATTTTACAGTTCTTCCAGAATGCTAATAGTGAAGATGTCTTGACGTCCTTGTGGATGTTTGGATGGGCTACAGCGATAATGTTTGGGGTCCAAATAGCTCAGCATGCGAACTGAAAGAATTTCCACATGTACATGGTGGAATTGCTGAATCCCCCTTCTGGCTGTATTATGTTTTATTACATGTGGCTCTGCCCTGACCTGGATTGCCCAGGGTAGACCGATCTTGTCAGATCGCAGAAGCTAAGCAAGGATGGCCCTGGCTAGTATTTGGATGGGCGACATCCAAGGAGTACCAGCGGCATGACTCAGAGGCAGGCAATGGCAAACCACCTCTGAAACGTCTCTTGCCTTAAAAATAAGTCTAGCTTGTCACCTAGTGGTGCATAACGCTAAAAGAGCTAGAACTGCTGGCTGCCAGACAATCTTAGGATCTCTTGGCTATAGTACAAAAAATGCCATATGATAATTACTAATTAATAATTATTACATGTGGCTCTATAACTCGTGGGAGCAGGTGTATAAGGAACTGTAGGAAGGGAGGGTAGGAAAATTATTTTGTGCACAGAGCGACAAACTTAAGCTTATTTTGTGCTACAAACCACTGAGCCCTGCCATGCTTTGCTGGAAGGGATGGGAGGAAGTTTCTTCGTTTTTTTGTGTCTAATGAAGCAAATGCATTTTCTTAGATTCAGGTCATAATGTGGGGTCAGAGGCTAGTTTATGGAAATTCTAAATCAGAAGTCTAAGAGAGAGACTGTAGGTTTTATGACTGTGTTCTACATATTTAGATCCTAACATGCTTTCTTTGGGGCAGGGATTGAAGCAACACAAAGCAATGGATGCCTTTATTGTAGGAAAATTCATGAAATGTGGTGACAGGGTTTACAGAAACAGATTACATATATTTTTCCTTTGAGTTTTTGTTGTTTTTTAAAATAATTGTGACTTAATCGAAAATTTGACACTAGTATTTGGTTAGTAAAATGCTGTTTTCTGAGCAAAGGACTATTAGTAGGAACTCTCTCAGATTATTTGGAATGATTTTATAAAAGGTTGGAAATTCTTCTTAAGAACAAGTGTGCTATTTCTATCCTCATTTATGTGGGTAGCTACTTAACCAAAGCAGTTTTTCCCCATAGGTTGCAGCCTGTGAACTTTTACATAGCATGGTTATGTACGTGCTGGGGAAGGCGGCTCAAATACCTGAAGGACAAGAAGTCTCCCAGCCAATGTCTCATCTGTATAAGCGTACATTTCCTATTCTACTGCGACTTGCCTGTGATGTAGACCAGGCAAGTAAATCCAGTTCTTTTGTTTGGATTGGTTTGGGTGGCTAGCTGCTTGAAAGATTTTTTTAAAAATTAGAAGTTTTTGTGATTACTTTGGTTGTCTTGAATTTTGGCTTATTGGGGACACCCATATTTTTGTATCTTAGGAGCCATGGAAAAGGAGAGAAGGGGAAACTGTACTACAAAGCTTACAGCATAGCCATAATGCTTTTTTCCACATTTGTTAATTTGTCAGAAAAAACTGGCAATTCAGCTGTTTCTAAAATTTGTTTTTAAAGGTTCATTTGCTGCTACTTCAATATTGATATGCAACAAATAGTTGACTACTAAGTGTTGTCTCCTATTAGCGGAGTGGTGTGGATTTAATAGGTGAATTAATAAAGAATAGGAGGACTAACGAGTTTAGTGCTTTTTACTTTAGTGAAAAGATGACAAAGAGAGTGTATCTTAGGGGTTTATAAAATTAGGCATGGAGTGGAGAAAGTGAATAGGAAGAACTTTTTTCTTTCCCTTCTATAATACTAAAGCTTGGGAGCACCCGGTGAAGTTGATGGCCAGTCACAGGTTCAAGACAGGGAAAAGAAAGTACTACCTCATACAGTATTTAATTAACTTGATGGAACATGCCGTCACAGGATGTCAGGATGCTAGCACAGATGGCTTTGAAAAGGGACTAGTGAATTTTAGGGAGGATAAGGGACATCAGTGACTGTTAATGGTGATGGCTGAATGGATTCTTCATGTCTGGAGGTAGTATACATCTGAATACCAGTTGCTAAGGGTAACAGCAAGAGGAGATTTGAACCTCCATACTTCTGAGCCTTCTGGTACATCTGGTTAGTTACTGTGTAAAAGCAGATGCTGGTCTAGGTAAATCACTCATCTGATCTGACAGTGCTCTTATGATCTTGTTACAGTGTTAATGCTAATCTTAATCATAATTCAATACGATCTCATTTTTTCCCTTTAGGTTACAAGGCAACTCTATGAACCTCTGGTTATGCAGTTAATTCACTGGTTCACCACCAACAAAAAGTTTGAAAGTCAAGACACTGTGACATTACTAGAAGCTATTTTGGTAGGCACCTGATATATCAGTGAAGTCATTTTTAAAGTTAAAATATTTTTTGTCAAAAATGTATAGCCTCCTCTCATTTTCAGATCCTTTTTGGTTGTTGAAAAAAGTCAAATTTATTTATCACTGTTAGCCTATATCACTGTTTCATTTTCAGTTTATTTGGGGATGGATAGTCTCCTGACTCACCACTGTTTCATTTTGACCATTTTCAAATTATCACATTTTATTAAAGCCAGCAAAATTCTTATTAACCCTTTAAAAGATCTGTATGCCATGATTTTCTTTAAGAGGATCCTTTTTTAGAAATGCAGAAGAGAGGTGATTCTACTCTTAGCTGTTTCCCAGTAAACTGTCTGTGAATTTTGAGCTACAGGGCAGATTAAGTGTTTAAAACAGACTGGGAACAACGTACAACATACAAATTTAGGATGTGTGGAAGAGTATTTTCTCAGCTGCCTCTTCCTATCAAACCATTCATCTTCATCACACCTTATGTAATGACGAAAACATTTACTCTCAGTTCCTGGTATTTGAAGTTGAACACAGAAGAATCTTATTTAGTGCTGTTTGGAGCAGAGTTACACTCTTCTAAGTCTATTGAAGTCGATGGGATTAGAAGGGTATAACTTTTTTAAGGGTTTTACTGATAGCAAACCAAGTTTGCTCTTTCTTTCAGGATGGGATAGTGGATCCTGTGGACAGCCCATTGAGGGACTTTTGTGGTCGTTGTGTCCGAGAATTTTTAAAATGGTCCATCAAACAGACAACGCCACAGCAGCAAGAGAGAAGTCCTGTGAACACCAAGTCTCTCTTCAAGAGGCTGTATAGCTTTGCTCTCCATCCCAATGCTTTTAAGCGGTTAGGAGCTGCACTTGCTTTTAATAGCATCTACAGAGAATTTAGGTGAGAGATGAAGCTGGTGCTGCTTCTAAGCAGGATAAAAATATATTACGCGATGTTGGTGCTTTGCATGCAGGGTGTATTGACTACAGAAATTCATGCTCCTCATAATTTTAAGAGGATATGTTATGTAGACCAATTAACAGCTCTTCTCTGTGAGCTAATATCCAGCTTTAGACCCTAAGATTCTCCTTCCTCTGAGGACAAGGAAGGGTCTACAAATGGACGAAGCAGGTGGGATGGGCTTTTGCTGGAGGAACAACAAATCATTTCTGTTTCGGAAGCCTTTGAGAAGAATTTAGTAGCTTGTTAGCTGGATTTTTAAAAACCTTACATGTAGTATATGGCATGCTTCATTTGTTTGGAATAGTTTTGCAGGGATTGTATTGCAGACCTTTCTGGAGTCATGAATGTTATTTAATATAACTCAGTGGTTTGCCCTAATTGGAATGATTTAGGTTGATATGTACAGGGATCAGCACATGGAGAATGTTCTCTTAGGGCAGCAGACTGAGTTACATGACTTTAAAATCTGTTCAAGTTCAGTAGATGTGGTGTTGTGGCAATCAGTACCCATGTTTTATTTATTTATTTATTTATTTAATTATTTCCTCAGATTTCTTGAGTGCCCTTCCCTGCTTACGTGGGGCTCAGGGCGGTTTACGACAGAATAGTTCAATACAATTATAAAACCAATTCAAACCACATGAATTCAATATTAAACATTCCGCATAAATATTTAAAACATTTAAAGAACAAGATGGCATATCTAGCATTCAGATTTGGGGGGGAGGGGAAGGTGCCGGGCAGATATAAGGAACCGTCTCTGGCCTCAACCAAAGGCCTGGCGGAACATCTCTGCTTTACATGCCCTGTGAAACTTTAATAGATCAGACAGGGCATGGATGTTATTCGGCAGAGCGTTCCACCAGGCTGGGGCCAAGGCTGGGGAAGCCCTGGCCCTGGTCAAGGCCAGCTGGATATCTTTGGGGCTGGGAGCCACCAGGAGATTCTTATCTGCTAATCTCAATGCCCTTTGGAGGACATATCAGGAGAGGCAGTCCTGAAGGTTACGTAGGTCCCTGACTGTTAAGGGCTTTAAAGGTAAGCACCAAAACCTTGAATCTGATCCGGTGCTCCACTGGCGACCAATGCAGCTCATGCAGCACTGGGTAGATATGTGCCCTCCATGGGGTCCCTGTAACAACCCACGCAGCCGCATTTTGTACCATTTGGAGCTTCCGGGTCAGTTTCAAGGGTAGCCCTACATAAAGTGAGTTAAAGTCTGCTACAATCCTCCACACCCAAACATTTGCACTCTGCTTTTAAAAATGTTTCAGACAAATGTAAAAAAATATGCCTTCTTGTCTTATATTGGAAGTATCTTAAAGCCCAGTTTTCCAAATAATAGAGTCCTTATTTAATTATTTTTCTCTTGTTTCATAGGGAAGAGAATGCTCTGGTGGACCAGTTTGTCTTTGAAGCATTGGTTTTGTACTTGGAAAGTCTGGCCTTGACACATGGAGATGAGAAATCTTTGGGTGCATGTTTAACTAAAACTTCTTCAAAAATATTGTTGGATAACGCTTAAAGAAATATAGGCAGCAATATGTTTTTGGGTTTCATGTTAAAATGTTTTAGATTTGAAAATGTTTCAAATATCGACATTTGGATAAAAATGGTTGTGCTATAGAAAAATGCTGGGAAATTGACACATTAGGAAGGACATTTTGTTTTGAACATTTAGACTATTTAATTTATCTGTTTTAAAATATTTTGCTCCTGCCTCACAGCACAAGCCTTTAGAGGTGGTTTACTTAATTAAAATAATAAAACATAAAAACAAAATAGCAGAATTATTGGCAGTAATAAATATGAATAAAATGGCAGCAGTTCAGCAATAAAAGGTTAAGCCCTAAAAACATATTTTGATTTTCTAATTAGGTGCCTCTCCAAAGAACCTCACAACAATTACCATATTCCGTGAGGTAATCCCCTGGGACCACAGAACCACCACAACTGGGTGTCCCAGACACCCAGGCCAGAAGTATACTATGGTTGATAGTATCAAAAGATGCTGAGAGGGAGGTTGTAATTCTCCTGTCTCTCTCCTCTAAAGCTGGCTCAGAAGTTACATTGAAATGGGTCTAGATAATGTTTTCTCCAGTCAGTGTCTGGTTCACTGGTTCTGATACCCTGTATGTGGGGCATTTGTTCTACATTTTAAATAACTTTTTGGCCTCATTATTGTGCGTTTTAAGCATACATTTGTTAAGTAAAGTGCATTTCATCTTTTAAGTTTTCATTGTTGTGTACAGGAGGAGAAACAGCCCAGATCTTTAAAAATAAATATTTGAGGCCTGCTAATATACAGACCTTTTCAATTTGAAAACAGGTACAACTCAACAGTGTTGTGATGCAGTTGATCACCTGAAGCGAATAATTAAGCACAAAGCATCTACTTTGAACAAAGAAAGCCAGCGGCGATTACCTCGGTTAGTAATCTCTTCAGAGTTCTAAGAAGTACACTTTCATTGGGAAACAACCACACAGCATTTAAAATGCATACCTGCCCCCTCATATGCTTTTCTGAAAACACACCCCAGCAAAAGGCTGCAGTCCTGTGCGCACTTATTTGGGAGTGAACACCACTGAACTGTAGAATTTTCTTCTGAGTAATATTTCTAGTATCAACCTAAAAGGGTTTCCATGTTTAAAGTAGTAGAAATTGCTGACAAATTGCAGTTTAAGAATGAAATGCCTTATTTGCTCCCCAGCTTACTTGCTGGCAAGAGAGGACTTCCTTTCCTAGAACTGGGGAGGCAGAGAGCTAACAGCTTGTTTTTTGTGAATACATTTTCTGTCAGACCTTTCCTGGGCAAACCCTAGTCTCCGCAGTGCATACTATAGCAAAATAACTTTACTAGTAAGGAAGATAGGGGCAATGCTATTTGATTTGGACAGGTATTGGGAAATGGAAGAAGGTACTGGTCATCCACAGTTTTGTTTTGCATGTAGCAGAGAAAAAGAAAAGAAGCATGGTATTTCCTGCACTAGAAATATGAAAAGTCAGAGGCTTGGAGTACAGCTTGAATGGATTGTTATCATATGTGTGGATCAATTGTCATCTTACTAGACCACTTGGAATTGTTATTGTTGGATTTAAATTTGAGTAGTGTTTAACCAACTAATTGCTAGTGTGGATTCAGTTAATAATGTCAGTTAATATTCTACTGTTACCATCATATAGGGGATTTCCACCTGCTAAATCTATATGTTTAGAAGATATTGTCATGTGGCTTTTTCTGCAATGTGGACGACCCCAAACTGAGTGTCGGCATAAAGCCATGGAACTTTTCTTTGAATTTATTCCACTGCTACCAGGTTTGTATACTGCATAGATAGTATTCCTGTTGATATGTCATAGGGGCTAAGAGACTGTACTATGGGGCAGGAAGCCACTGTTCAAATTGCATCTCTGCCATGGCCTCAGTAAGTGAGGCAAGCCACTGATTTTCTCAGCTTCAGTCTTCCATCAGAATCCACACACACTTTTCTTGTATTGTAAGTCAATGTGTTCTGCAGGAAAATATTGTTAGATATTAAGACTGCAATCCTGGACACAAAGAGAACTTTGTCATCATCTTATCTGTATGTAGCAACTTAAAATCTCTGTTAGGTAATAGATAAAATTGCTGCAAAATTATCATTTAAACTTTCTCTCACTGAAATTTGTATAATCTTGCCAGGAAAATTCTTACTCTCACTACCTAATGCGACAGTGTTCTCTAGGTATACTTCTGAGCGGAGATTCCTCAAGCACCTTTCTCCATTGGTCAGGGAGTAATTTTCTAAATCAGCCACCCATGTGGAAATAATCTGGAATGAGTTTTCATAATGACCCCATATTTACAGGGGGGAAAGTTTGGTCTTTGTGGCACAAAGGCGGCAGCAGATGCCAGGAGAGGCTCCACTTAGAAGAGAAGAAGAAGATATTGGATTTATACCCCACCCTTCACTTGGAGTCTCAGAGCAGCTTAGTGGGCAAAAGGCAACAGATGCTCCAGGATAAGGCAGGGCATCTCACAAGATGTCAGTAGCAGCCTTGTGCAAACCCAGCCGGAGTAGGGCAAAGCAAGGAATGGGTTTAAGAGCAACAAGGCTCTGAGAAGGGAGGGGTGGAGGTGGGCTTGACCAGCATGGGCAGCGTCCCAGGGATGAAAAGGGTGATGCCAGAAGAGACGGAGGAGGTCAGTAATGGAAGCTGGCTGAGTAAAACTGAGGAGGTGCAAAGAAGAAAGGAACCTAAAGGAGGAGCTGGAGCCGGGGGCAAGATAAGGCTCCCAAACTGGGACAGGCCTTGTGGAACTGCCGCAAGGCAGAGGCACAGCTCAGCCCCCTGAGGTCTGAAGGGCAGAAATTGGCAGGTGAAGGAAACTGTGCTTGTGAGGACGCCTGTGTGGACTTCACTGCATCCAATAAAGAGACAAGGCAATTAAGATTGTGTCTGGTGAGTCTCTGCTGACTACGGAAGTCAATTATGACGTCCTGTGGCCTCCCCGGGGGGGGGGGCACAGTATTGCTTTCTGGACTACTAGTACATTTTTTGTGCCACTGCCATATTATGTGGAAAATGTTGCCTTTTTGTGTTTCTCTGTCAGGAAGCAAGTCTCCATCTTTATGGCTGGATGATATCCTTCGGAAACAAGAAATCTCTTTTCTCATAAAGAAATTTGAAGGAGGTGGCGATGAGGGTAAAAGTGTGTCTGGAATCTTGTCTCATCCGACTCTTTCTGGTCTACAAGATAATTTTAGTTTACGAGCTGTTGTACAGTGGATGGATATGCTTCTGGCGGCTTTGGACTGCTACAATACTTTTATTGAGCAAGGAATGATCAAACCAAATGAAATAGTAGGTAGGTGAATCATCTTATCTTCCTAAGTCTGTTCCAAGAAAGTGGAGAACTGTAAATATCAGAAAACCTTTTTCGGTTTGAATTTGCCGTTCTGTTTCTTTTAAATGAAGTGCTGGGGTTCTTTTGGCTCACCAACCTGCACAAAGCCCAGGGTGACATCGCATGCAGATGCAGTAGACTGAGGCAGAAATGAAAGAGGTGATGGCGGGTGCTACCTCTGCTCCTGGGCCAAGCACACACAAAGAAGGTGCCAGGAACTGAGGGTGGGGGGAGAGACCCCAGATAGTAGGGGCTGATGACTCCCTGGTCATTTAGGGGCAGCCGGCAGGATGGAACTCTTTGAGGGTGGTGCCTCATGCCCTAACAAGAAGGGGAGAAGGGGAAATTCAGTGTCCTTGACACACTGAAAGAGTGGAAAACTGATCCAGTTAAGGAGAAAAGGCAGAAACCCTGCAGTGTAAGAGACTAGGAAGTAGTTGCATGCCTGAAATAAAAGAAGATACTTTATTGTGCTCGGAGTCATCTCTCTTTCCTCCCTTGTCTGTCCTATGGAGGAAGTCAGGCAAGAGGTCTCCTTTCCTGAGCCAAAGGTCATGAAGTATCTTGATTTTCAGGATGAAAATGTTGAACTGAGTGCCAAGTAAATGCTCAGCCAAGTTCTGAGGACAGTGTGTACAATATACAACCCGCAGGGGGTATGCCCCACATCTCACAGTGGAGGCATCTATAACTTGCACACTAGGGAGGGCAAAACATTGCCTGCCATCTGAGAGAGAGGCAGCTCAGATAAACTTTCTTCCTCTCGGAATGTCTGCTGTGTCCCTGCTTTGGATAAGGCAGATTTTTCTTGGGGTGGGGGTTTGCTTGTGATTGCAGGCACCTGGGATGAAATGGAATTCCTGCCCCATTGCATCATGGGGCCTTGTGTTTGCAAGCACCTGCAATTGCATCCTGGGTACTTGTAATCACAAGACTCCAGGATGCAACAGAATCATTTCTCTGCCCCCACCTTTTTCTACAGTGAAACATTGCAGGTTTTAAAGTCTGCTGGAGAGTTATGCACTCTTCAGTTCTTTTGTTCGCCTTCAAATCACAGCTGACTTATAGTGACTTCACGGGTTTTCAAAGTAAGAGATGTTCTGAGGTGGTTTGCCATTGCCTGCCACTGCATAATGACCCTGGTATTCCTAGGTGGTCTCCTGTCCAAATATTGCCCAGGGCCAACCCTGCTTAGCTTCCGAGTTCTGACAAGATTGGGCTATCTTGGCCTATCCAGGACCTTTTCTCCTATATTTTGACAGTGGCTATTTAGTGGGTAGGAACTGTTCTGCATATGCTCAAAGGCACACATTCCTTCACAATGAAAGAAACTGTAGGGTGGCTAGTAATGAATGTGTAAGAATTAAGAAAGACTTGCCCTTGTCCATGAATTACTATCGGTGTAGTTTCCCTCCTGAAACCAGACGGGATTCTTCAGTAAGATACATCTCACTCAGGTGGTGTTGTTTTTTTGGCATAATCTGACTTGTTGGTGCTGACACTAAGGAGAGAAAGCAAACAAGAGAATGGAAAAAGTAAAGGAGAAAATTTTATGAAACAGCACACAAGGGTTAATACAGACGGTTAAAGGTTAATTGAAGGGGGGGGAGACACAATCCATCTCTATAGCTCACTTGCAGTTTTCACTTACCTTTCCTTTGCAAGGCAGTGTGGTGAAAAGAACCCTTGCTTGTTTTTGCTTGTGTTAAAAACGATTTAGAAGCATTACAAAAAATAAATTCAGACAGGGACAAGACATATCTTTAAGGGACTGTGCCTCCAAAGGAACATCTGTAACTTCAGACCTGCTACCAAGAAGCGTCCTGTTCTACCATATCATGCCTTCTTGATGAAGTGATCAAATGCTGCATCTGTCCTCCCAGATCTTTCTGGAAGACGTCAACAGTTGCTTTACTCTCCCATAGACAGTTCCAAAAAACTACCTATGAAGTTTTACGTGCTGTCAAGTTGTTTCTGACTTAAGGCAACCTTTTGAATTAATGACCTCCCAAACAGCCTTGTTCAGGTCTTGCAGGCTTCCTTGCTTGAGTCAGTCCATCTAATTTGGGGTCTTCCTCTTTTCCTACTGCCTTAATACTTCTGTTTGCCCTTCACTATATTACTTTTCTTCTCTCCACAAACTCTGTTTAACCTGTACTGTGGGCAATATTCAAGAAAGGTTTTTTAAATGAAACTATGGGCTTTCCCCCCGTTTATTGCAGAGATCTATTTATTTCTCTGTTTATAGAATATTTACAAATAGAATATTCATTTAATAAATGTGCCTCCCCATTTTCGAAGTGCAGTATAACTATTGAGAAATTAATATAGTATTAAAAGGGAAACTAAGTAAGGAATAATTCTAAGGTTTTGGGGGGGGTGTAGAAAAATTATTCCTTCTAATTAATGTATATAATTAACAAGATAATACAGGACTGTATTTTATATTTCAACTGTATAATGTTGTTTAATTCTTTGAAGCTACAAATACTGAATCCTCATTTATGACATCAGTGGAGTTCTTCCTTGAAAAACTTGCCTTGAAGGATGTCTCCGGTGCAGAACAATGTTTTAACACTGCGTCAAAAGGCAACATCTTCAGCCCACAAGAAAAAGAAGATTACAATTACAGCAAATGCACAATTATAGTTCGTATTATGGTTTTCGTTAGCATGATTTTGGAAACCTGTCAACAAGATTTCTGGAAGGTAGGCTTGGGTCTGTTGAAAGAGGTTGTAGGTCCAAAAGTTAAAATCCCCAAACCAAGAACACAATCCATGTAATGCTTTTTATTAACAGTGTGTGAGCTTTTGAGTTCACCAGAACTCTTCTTCAGGCTGGACGTTACACTAAAAAAATGCTTAAAAGGAGCTATGGCAAAAGAAAATGCCACAGGACATGGTGTTCTGTTAAAGCCTGCATTATGTGTTAAATGTAGAGCATATTCAAACAGCTGGTTTCAATTTACTCCAGGCAAGAGGTAGTAAAACAGCATTGGTAGTAAAACTAAAAAGTATTCCATGGATTGTCAAACCTTTTGCTGGGTTAGGGACCTTTGTATGAGCTTAAGCAGCTCTTGGGAGCCCACCTATTGCTCTTTGTGCATAATAAGAGATGACCTCTGCAGCTGCACTGACATTGCACTGGTGAACGGGCTGCAGATTCTGTTCTCTGGAAATAATTAGTAGCTAAAAGGAGTGTATCGCCTTTGTGGACACTTACTGAAGTTAGTATTTACTTTATAACAAAAGGAGGACTGATTTTCCTATACTAGATTTCTTTAATAATCCATTTTCTTTTATCAGTTGTATAGGCTGTCTAGTTCAACCTTTTGCTAATTGCAGGAATCCCAAGCTAGAGAGCACCTCTGACAGACGGTTGCCATGCTTCTGCTTAAAGACCTTCAGTGAAGGGAGAGCCTCCTTCTAGCTACTTGGCTTCATTGCTGAACTGTTCTAACCATTAGGAATGTTCTACTAATCATCAAGTGACAGGGAGGTTGGACTAGATGGCTTGTAAGGCCCTGATTCTATGACATTTGCCGTATTTTTAACATAAACCTCTGTGAATGTATGTGTTCTCTCTCTCTCTCTCTCTCTCTCTCTCTCTCTCTCTCTCACACACACACACACACACACACTCCCTCTCTCCCCCACACACACCCACCCACACCCACACACACACACACACACACACACACTATAACAAGCCTACAATATAGTAAACTCCAATGTTCATTAGTTTTTAATGGAAAATCTTAAAATGTGAAAATGCTTGGATTGTCTGACTTTAATCTTATCTTCTCTAGCTTCTGGAGAGAGAGTTGCTTAACAAAAATCTGATAGAACTCACTGTAAGAACAGTATGTGATCCTAAAAGCATAGGCTTTAACACCGCTGATGTGCAAGTAATGGAAAAGCTCCCCGATATCTGCGTAAGGCTTATAAAAGCTTTGATGAGATCTCCCTATAAAGAATCTTTAGTGACCAGCATGAAGAAAGTAATAACTCCAGAGAGGTAGGCTGTCTCCTGGAATAACACTTTTTTTTAATGGAAGCACAAGCCTTTTGTTAATATGACATAAATATTATAACAACACAGTCCTTATTTTATTCACCTTTGCTTTGTCAGTATTGAAGAGTTTTATGGTGTTGAGCTGTACAATCCAGATTCTCGTTTGGATCATGTTAGACTTGGTGCCATTCTGTCTGCATGCAAACAGCTGCACAGAGTTGGACTGCTTCACTGCACCTTGCAATCTCAGGTAAAACTGTAACTTAATGCTTATATTGGCTTTAGTATTTTTGCAGGGTAAGGAAAAAATATAAAATGTTGGGGTTTGCTGGAGTAGTTTTTAAGTAACTTAAATATATGTGAAATATTAGTAGATCAAAGTGCTGGCCACTATGAGGAGACATATATTATTCAGAGCTAGTTCCTAACTAGTCTGAGTAAAGTGAATTTTCCATCTTCTACCCTCCCCTTGCAGCCTGCTGTATTCCCCCCCCCATCATGCCTCTGAGGACCAGTACATTTCCAAGAACAAGGGGGGAGAGCAAAGTGGGGAATTGGCAAAAACCGCCCCCTTCTTGGAACAATTTTTTCCTCACATCTACCAATTTAACAAATGGTTGTTCCTTGTTGTACGTCTTAACATTGCTGGGTCAGTTTAATTCTGGTTTTGTTCGTATTAAAATACCTCTAGTGATAATCATGAGACTTAAATACAACGTTGAAAATTGTCCAGTTCTTGTTGTTGGTTGTGAGTTGGGAGGTGAGGAAGTGAAGGACAGAACCTTTCTTCTGCAGTATCCCAGACAATGCTTTAATCCAAGAAGAATCATAAAGGTGGTTTGAGGTGAACAAAGAGAAGAAAATGTAGAGCCTTGGGGGGGGGGAAATCTTCACTTTAAATCTGTGTTCTCCCCCTCCCCTGCATGTTATAAACATATTTTCAAGTGTATCTTTTGTTATTTCCCCCCCCCTTCAAGGGTGTAGGTCTACATTGCGAGGCTGGTTCTAAGCTCCTTTTAGTTATATACAAAGGTATTGCACCAGGAGATGAAAGGAAGTCCCTCCCCTCATTGGACATGAGCAGTAAACGACTGGCTGAAGGACTATTACAGCTGGCATTTGCTTTTGGTGTACAGGTAGGAGGCTGATTTACGAGTGAGCGGTTCTTTCTGTAATATTTATATCACCAGTATTTAATGTGAATGCATATAATTTTAAGTATGCCAGTGTCTGTAGAAGTCTCACATTATGTTTTTAGGCTTTTGTACTCCACGTTTCTCCCTATCTAGAGACTCAAAGCACTTTACCGAATGAATGCAAAAATACAACTTCAAATAAAAACATAAAGAGAGCCAGTTTGGTGTAGTAGTTAAGTAGTGCGGACTCTAATCTGGGAGAACCAGGTTTGATTCCCCACTCCTCCACTTGCAGCTGCTGGATGACCTTGGGCAAGCCATAGTTCTGACAAGAGCTGTCCTTGAAAAGAGCAGTTTCTGTCAGAGCTCTCTCAGCCCCATCTACCTCACAGGGTGTCTGTTGTGGGGAGGGGAAGGGAAAGGAGTTTGTAAGCCGCTCTGAGACTCCGAGTGAAGAGAGGGGTATAAATCCAATCTCTTCCTCCTCTACCACTACTACTATACTGTATTTCACCATCCTTATCCTGGTGCTGGTTTCTGTAGTTGGTTCACTCATGGCTGCAGGCACCAAGCCATGGGTTAAGAACTATAGGGCCAAGGCTCCTTTTGCTTACACCAAAGGTTCAACAGCTCTGGCCATGCTCAGGCTCAGCACTTGTATCATTGGAGACATGCTCAGTCCAGGTCTCCTTCAGCTGGCAACAAGATATGCCCAGCCTTTCTTTCTGTGGCTTAAAGACTGGAATGTGGATACATAGTCTAGACTATGTTAAATGTGGTTGTAGCTGTACAATTTATAATTATAAGTAACTTTTAATTTAGACTGGAAATGATGTTATGCAAAACACTTAAAAATACTCTGAATAGAAAAAGATTCTTCAGGTGTAGCCAATGCAATTTGGGCTCATAAGAGAAAATTGTTGTAAAATATTCTGTCTTTGGTATTTAGATTCTCACTGAGTAAACAAAATATACAACAGTTGTCATGACTAATGGAACAGTCGTCAAGTTTCAGCCAAATTCCTCCATTTGTTACTCCATCTGTTACTCCAGGGATCACAGTATGATACAAGTTTCACTATCTGCCTCAGAAAATTATTATACTTAAATAATGGTACAACCCCAACTATTAAGATAGGCGCAAGTAAAATGTGGCAGTTTACGAAGCCCTCAAAGTTTACAGAAATTGTCAGATGGAAAGATGGAAGACAACTGAAAGGAATATTCAAAACTTCATTGGGACCCCTCCTGCAATTCTCAATTCAAGCTTTGGTCCTGATAACCTCTACTGTGTAGGAGATCATGCCTCAAGGGAATTAGCTCTTTATATTTCTTTATACAGTCGGGGGGCTTAAATAAGCCCTTTACTGACAGTCCAGACCTACACAGAGTCACTTTTTCCATGTTGGTTAAGACCTGTTCACAATTTCCTTTGTATCTAAGTGTAGCCCTTCTGTTGTTTGATCTGTGCCTTGACCTGGATAGCCCAGGCTAGCCCAATCTCATCAGATCTCGGAAGCTAAGCAGGGCCAGCCCCAACTAGTATTTGGATGGGAGACCTCCAAGGAATGCCAGAGTCATGACGCAGAGCCAGGCAATGGCAAACCATCTCTGAACATCTCTTGCCTTGAAAACCCCAATGGGCTTGCCACAAGTCAGCTGTGACTTGGCAGCCCCCCCCCCCAAAAAAAAAATGTTTGGTCTATAGGTCACTTAGTGATGTATATTTTCTTGGTATCAAGTTTGAGTCTTCTAAATAGCAGTCTCCTGAAACAGAATGAGGCTTCTCCATCAGGGGAAGGGGGGAGGATGAGTGTCAAGGATCCTTATTTTGTATGGGCTGGATTGAGGAGCTGCCGCCAGACCTGGCTAGCAAGCTAGCCCTTGATTGGTGAGGTGGGCAGGCAAGCACCAGGCTATTGTATGGTTGTGTGTTTGTATGGGGAAGGTAGGAAGTCACCTGTGCATTTCTCTCTACACTGAGAAGAATAAGCATTCACATCAAATAGTATCTTCTTTTTTCCTGCTTTAAATCTTTCAGTGTTTCATGATGAGAAAATACTTAACAGATATATTGTTGTTTGAAAGATATATTCATGATGTTGAAATGCATGAAGGTAACCTTTTCTATTTATTTCTTATAGTGCAAGGAACTTGTGAGTCTCTTGTTGAACTCATTGATGTTATCTGTGCCATTATCTGGAGTATCGCAAAGGAACCTTATCAGCTTTTCTCACGGAGAGTATTTCTACAGCTTGTTCTCAGACACCATTAACAGAGAGTTGCTGAAAAACCTGGACGTAGCAGTACTTCATCTTTTGAAATCATCTCTAGACAGCCCCAAAATGGTACTTGCTTCAAAATAGTTCATTTCGTAGCTTTAGAATTTCCAAGATTTTACTTTCAGGACAAGCGAAGGGAGCAAATCATTTATTCCTATTTTTGAATTATGTTTATAATTTATAAAAATGTTCTTTTATAATTTAGTGAGCTGCTAAAATCCATGCAACTATTTGGTATATTACTGCTTTATCCATGCCAGAGGTTACAACAAAAATGCACAGTAGGGATACTTGTCCTGGATCTTTGCAAGCAATGCAAGCAACGAGTGCTTGTAAAGAATTTTTTTTCCTACTTGTAATAATGTAGATGTCTCTGGGTCATGTTCCCTCACTATAGAGCCAGCTTGGTGTAGTGATTAAGAGTGGTGGACTCTAATCTGGAAAACCAGGTTCGATTCCCCACTTTCCCACTTGAAGCCAGCCTAGGTGACCTTGGGCAAGTCATAGCACTCTCAGCCTAAATATAATCAAATATCACCACTTAGTGGTGCCAAAAAAAGAAGCTTACAGCTTCAGGCAACCAAACAATGCTACGGGATCTCTTGGCTGTTCCACACACAATGCCGTACGATAATTTAATTTCCCTCACTATAGAGCTGGTCAGAGCCAGGACTGATGAATTATGCTTTTCTGTGACCAATAATCTGGCCAATATTGGGGTATTTTTAATGCACATTAGCAGTTGCCTTTCTGTGAGGAAATTAGGGTTTTTTAATGCTAAATTCCTACACTCCTCAAAATATATTTTCCATCATTCTTTGTAGAATTCATGACATATTTCTGCTGACACTGTGGCAATATGGAGCATTTACAAATAATTTTTTGAATCATTTGACTTGCATACCTTTTGTTGAAGTTACCTTGCATAAAATGCTGTCATTATTTCATGTATCAGTATCTTGTTTTTCAGGTTGGTACTATCTTGAATGGCATGTTAGACCAAAGCTTTAGAGATCGTGCTGTTCACAAGCAACAGGGTGTGAAATTAGTGAATGCTATACTGAAGAACTGGGTACATCTTGACAACTGGAGGACCAGAGATTCAGCTCCTGAGAGCAAAATGGCTGTTTTGACTCTACTGGCTAAAGTTCTCCAAGTAAAGTTACTGTTTTATTTCCAAGGCTGTTAATTGTGCTGGTTCTAGTGAGGGAGCCTACACCCACTCCTTGGAGCGGATGGTGTCCAAACCAACCTCAAAGACACAACATTAAGAAAAATCCAAGATAGAATCCTAATTATCAATTTCAACTTTTTTCCTGAGGTTGAGGTATTTTGATTGGTAATGATGTTTTGAACAGTATGCAAAATATTAACACAGTCCAGCCTGATGGGTCCTGTGGTTGTAGAGGTATTTATATGCAGAAATGTTTCCAAGGACTAGATATAGCCAACATAATTCAGCCCATGGGAATTGCATGCTTCAAGAACCACTTCTGTACCCCTCCCCTGCCCCTCATACAGCTTGCTTTGGCACAGCAGTAATAGCTTTAATCGTCCTCCAGGGAATGTTATGGCCTGGAAGCAGATAATCTAATAACTGGAGTCAAGGGCATTCCAGACATGTAGGTTGCTCATGTTTGGAGTACATTTGGGATTCAAACCTGACCCTGGCTGCTTTTCTGGGCTTGGAAGGACAATTTAGGGGAATTTTGAGGAAACTAGCAGGGATCAGTAACTTTAGCCTTATTGGGATGCACTGGGAACCCTGGTGCACTGGTTCTTGGATCCAAATGGCTGCAGAATGCTAGTCTATGTGGCCCCTTTCTGGTTTCCTCGGATCTCCTGGGATGTAGCCTGATAAGTTTTAGACCCCATAGTAACTACTGCAACATCCCTTTTTAAAATCCCTCCCCCCCCCGACTATTTCCAAATCAGAGAGAGACTCAGGAACAGGGTTGGGATGTGACATGAAAGGTTGTAGTGGGTTGGTGAAATCAGTGGATATAAAATGATATTTCCTGACTGATATGCAAAGCTTTTCTGTAAAGGAAACAGAAGCTTATGCAAACGGGGTAGATTTCTGCTAGAGTTGCCAAGTCCATCTTCCACCCCCAGCGGGGGACTTTGGGGGCATTCCCGGAGGGGGCGGGGGGAATTCCTGGAGGGGGCGGGGCATCCCCGATGTGATGACATCACATTGGGGATGTCCGCCACCCCACCCCGCCCATGTACCAGGTCTCCAGAAACGGCAATTCCCTGCACTTAAAGGAGCCGGCGTTTCCCCTTTAAGAGCAGCCGTGTTTCCCTTTTAAGAGCACAAAGCTGGCATTTCCCTGCAAGCTTGCGGAGATCAGGCTTGGGAAGAAACATGGGTTCCACACACTTAAAGGGAGAGAGATGGGTGGGTGTTGGGGATGGGGCTTCCCCCGCTGGCGACGGGTAGAACCCCCAAAAAACGGGGGACCCCGGCAAACCGGGAGGGGGGGGTTGGCAACCCTAATTTCTGCTGATTTTCATTTATTCATATGAGCTCCCGCTTGACATTCCACATTGTTCCCAAGGGTTCCCTCAACCTTTCAGGGGGCACAGGGGGCTCGATAATGTCCTTTCTGTGAACATTCATTGAAGTTTAGCTTAAGCCTCATGTTAATTTGAAAATGTACCTAGTAATATTATTTTTTTACATGGTTTAGTCTCACTGCGTTACATCCAACCAGCTTTTCCACTGGTGAGAAAGGGAGTGGCAGTCCCTTTTGACCATCTTAAAAGGCTATGCTGAGGATCACAGAGCCAGCACGGATAAAAATCAAATGGAATGGAGCTGTTGTACAGATAGCAGTTGAAAAAGCTGGCTGGATCCAACCCATTGTTCTCACAGATTTCATTTTTGAATTAATAGGAACTTGAGTATTAAAAGCACTCAGCCATGAATGCACAATGATATCAGCTATTTCATCAGATGAATCCAAGCCCTAAAAAAAAAAAGATTAGCAAATATATGATTATTAATCTTGATTTCCCCACTTTTCTTTAGATTGACTCGTCTGTGTCATTTAGTACACAACATGAGGCATTTTCTGATGTTTTTAATACATACACAAGTCTACTTACTGACCAGAATTTAGGTTTAAATCTTAAGGTAAGTTCTGTGTCTCTTTTGTACTGTGTTTTTAGTAGCAGGAGTAGTTCTGAAATGGCTGGTGTTTATAAGGTTGTTCTTAAAATATTGTTTTTGTTTTTTACCGTTTTCAAAGAAAAGGGAACCAATAACATGTTAACAGTGTGATCCTAAGCAAAGTTATACCCTTTGAGGGCTGTAGACTTTAATAGGCATGTAGCTCTTATTAGGATTGAACTGTTAACAATGTAGCCCAGTCCAACCAGACACTTTTAAGTACAAAAAAATCCTGATAACCATTAACATGTTATTATACTGTTTTAACTGTACTTATTGTTAATTATTTAAATCTATTGATGTATTGGTATAAATTGAATAAATCAATCAAATCAATAAATCAATCAACATAAAGCAATTCCAGCTTTTTAAAATGTACTGTAAATGTTAGTAAAGGAGCTGCGGTGCCTCAAGTGGTTAAGTCGCTGAACTGCAGGCTGTGGAAGGTCCAGTAGTTCAGCAGTTCGAGACCTGGTGCCGCATGATGGAGTGAGCCCCCATCTCTAGTTCCAGCTCCTGCCAACCTAGCAGTTCGAAAGCAAGAAATTGCAAGTAGATAAATAGGGACCACTTCGGTGGGAAGGTAACAGTGTTCCGTGCGCCTTGGTGTTTAGTCATGCCGACCACATGACCACGGAAACGTCTTCGGACAGCGCTGGCTCTTCGGCCTTGAAACGGAGATGAGCACCGCAACTCTAGAGTCGGATTTGACTGGCTTTTGAGCAAGGGAACCTTTACCTTTACTTTTAAATGTTAGTAAAGAATAAAACCATGCCATTACGTTGGTAATTGAGACCTTTGAATGTGGCATAGCAATGTATTCTGAGTAGCAGTTAATGTATTTTACTTAGGATATTCATTTCTCAACAAATCTGATAGAACAAATGCTGTGTTAACTCTTCACTTCTTGCCCGGACCAGGTTTGAACTTGTTAATTATAGAGCCTAAAGACTGGAAGGAATTTACATAATTTAATTAACCTATCTCCATAGTGGCTTGCACAGGCATTGTAGTCCCAATTCCTGGAGTGAGGGAGGAGACCTAGGGCATTGTGTTCTTCCTCCTTTTCCCATGCAAATTGTCGTCCCCCCCAAAAAAACCCCAAGTTTTTACAGCTTACATTAGCACTGATACCCTCAAGGGTTTGCAGCTAGGTAGGATTTGGAACTCACATTTGAAGCTGGTTTCAAATCCAATAGTAAAACTTACTACTTAGAATTCACTATAATTATCCTTGGCAGATTTTTTTCTCTACATGTTCCTTGAAAGAATAATGATTTTTGAGGTCAGTGCGCATATTTATTTATTTATTTAAATTTTTACCCTGCCCTCCCAGCCAAAGCTGGCTCAGGGTGGCTCACATAAAAGCAGATGATTACAATAAAACATAGTTATAGTTAAAACAAATATAAAATCATAATAAAGTGCTAGTAGTTCTTAATAATCATATAGCCGTATCAGCCAGTATAGATGTGGTCTCATTTTAACCTGCATTTATTTCAGAGCCAAGCAGTCATTATTCTTCCATTCTTTACTAATCTTGTTGGAGAAAGACTTGTGGACCTTAAGAATGTACTTGACCAATTTGTAGCATTTAATTTCCCCTTGAGATCTAATGAGTTTCCTAAAGGAACCTTAAGGTACAACAACTTTGTGGACTGCACTAAAAAAGTAAGTTAAAAATATGTGTAATTTACTGTTTTAGTTACTTACTTTTAAATCCTCATTTGTCTGGGCCCTGTAGAAATTTGTAACATGCTCTCAATGCCATTCCATACACACAGTCTCATGAGTCATGAAAGAAAAATGTATGCTTTACTTCTTTAAGCTAGAGAGCAATCACAAGCAGGCCTACTGGGAATTCTGCTTGGATCTATTAAAATGGGCTTGCTCCCAGAAAAGTGTACTTAGTCTTGCACTGATACTATGGTATTAAAAACCCATATAATCGAGTAAGATATACTATACAGCCTAGTAAGGGATAAAGATCCCCATCCATTTGCTTGGACCTGGCCCTGAGCACAGTGGTGCAATTTTAAAGAAAAGAATAAATGTAAAATGAGTTAAATGCACAAATGAAACATCTGTATGTTTTGGATTCCTTACAATGAAATACTTTCTTTTTTCTGTATTCATATCAGATCTTGTTTTATGATAGGCAGACAGATGGAAGGTTTTTGGATATCATATGTTAACTTATATAGATTTCATGTGCAACTCTTAAGTACTTCTATCCTGTAAAGTGTTCTTTGTTGTGAAAATGTATTTTAAAATACATAGTGTGTAGTATATATTACCGTATTCTGTAACCATATAGTCTTTTCCCCTCATAGTTTCTAGATGCACTGGAACTATCCCAGAGTCCTATGTTGTTGCAGTTGATGACAGAAATCCTTTGCAGGGACCATAGACACATAATGGAGGAACAATTTGAAATCAGCTTCATAAGAATAGCCAGAAGGTAATCCTCATCAGTAGTTGTGAAACAGAATTCCTCTGCAGTTCTTTCAACTAATCAGACATGTCAGGAAGGAATTAGGGATAAGAAGTTAAATACTCAAATCAGAGAGCCTCAGTCATTGAGATCATAATCCGTGTTCCCTCTAAGCTGAGTTAGTGTAAGCTAGCTCACACTTTTTTAGCCTCCAGCTCACACATTTTTGTCTTAGCTCAGGAAGGATGGCTCCAGAGCAAACTAATTTATGCAGCAGCCAAATCGCTTACTCTCAGCTTTAATGCCAGTAGCTCATGAAGTAGAATCTTTGCTCACAAGATTCCACAGCTTGGAGCATTGATCATAATGTATATGTTGAATTTTTCCATTCTTCCATTCAGTTCTCATAAAAAAAGCAGGATGACCCTTATTCAGCTATGGAGGAAATGTCCATTGTGATTTGAGGAAATGGTTCCATCCCAGATTCCTCTGCTTTTTCATATTGGGGGCTTTGATCCATAGTAGGAGTTGTTAATGCTATCTCAGTCTTTTAGCTATTGGGTTTGCCCTGTAGGCTTTAGTTAATATAAAAAAAATATTATCCTTACAGGACATGCAGGGTCAAACAGTTTGCTTGAGTTTTTCCTTGAATCTCACAGATCCAGATTTTGCTTATTTCACTACATAGTGCCATGTCTTTGGAAGAGATTTGGAAATGTGAGTGGTTGTGGTTGATGGTCATGCTTTTACTATAAAGTTCTCTTTGTGTTTAGGGGTAGCTGTTACAAACAAGTGGTGTTGCTCGACACTGTTCACAAAATGTTTCAGAGTGAAACTCTTCTTTCAAGTGCAACCCGTCAAGCTTATGTTGATCGCTCGCTTCTCACTCTATTGCTACATTGCAGCACAGATGCTCTGGATGATTTTTTTTGTAAGATTATTGTGGAGGCCATGGACTCACTGACATCAAGATTTACCAAGGTATAAGGACAACTATGTCTTTTAAAACTAATATTGTTTAATAGCAGTTAGGTTTATATTTTAATTGAAGAAGGGCGGTGTTGAAGTATAGAAATTTGAAGCTAATTAAACATTCTGACTGGTCACTTGAGAACTTTTTTTTTTTATTTTCCAGTCAAATGAAACTATGTTTGATACACAGCTCACCAAGAAAATGAGCTACTACAAGATTTTGGAAGTGATGTATTCACGTCTTTCAAAAGAGGATGTGTATTCTAAAGATTCTAGAATTAACCAAGCCTTTCTGCGTTCCACCTGTGTAGAAGGAAATGAACTTACAAAGACATTGATCAAGTAAGGTTTTCTTGTGTGTCCTTTTTAAACCGTTATGTTAGTGGCTAATTTGATTTTTGAGGTCAGTAAAATAATACTTTTTAAAAGATCAGCTAGTTTATGAACTTTTGAATTAAGACAGTTCCCCTCCTTGGGCTGGATGTTTGAGAGAGTATTTTAAAGGAGAAGAAAGGAATAGAAATTAAAACAACCCTTCAGTAATACCAAACCAATAAAATACAGGGAATAGATCCTTTAGGGTAAAATGACCTCTGGTCCTTGTTTTTAACATGGATAATGAGGGATTTACTCAGCTGGCCCAGATCTTAAGTTGTTAGACCCTAATGAGTTCAGTTCTCCCTGTTAATTCCTGTTGGTGAATAGGGTTCACTCTCTGCTGCTACCAGTGGCCATTAATAGAATTGCAGTCTGACAGCCTGTAGTTTCCCCCAGAAAGGCCTCCAAGGAAAACTTAAGAACATAAGAGAAGCCAATGTTGGATCAGGCCAATGGCCCATCTAGCCCAACCCTCTGTCACAAAATGGCCAAAAATACTAGGTGCCATCAAGAGGCCCAGCAGTGGGGCCAGGACACTAGAAGCCCTCCCACTACTACCAGCCTGCCTCTAAAACCACCCCCACTGTAAATTCCCCACAAAAGGAAGAGAATAGACTAGGTAGACTCTAGAGCTCCTAGATTTGCTCTGTGGTACGGGAGGAGGATCTGGGAGACCTAAGTTAGAAACCCCACCCTGCCATGGAAGCTTGCTGGGTGACCTTCAGCCAGTCACATACTCTCAGCCCAGCCTGCTTCACAGGGTGGTTGTTGTGAGGATAAAATAGAGGAGGCGAGATTGTTGGAAGCTACTCTGGGTCCCCATTGGGGAGAAAGGTTGGGGTATAAATGAAGTAAATAAGTAAACGGACTCTCATGGTATTTTACAAGTGGTGAACACATAAAGTACAAAAATAAGACAGAACATCTGTAAAAATACAGTATTTAAAGCCCTAGGTATAACATGCAAACTCTCTCAAAGTCCTTCCTGAATAAATACATCTTAAGATGATGTTGTCTGGTCCTCCGTGATAGTATCAGTTGCACATACTGAATGCTGGAGCTCCAGAGTTCAGGGGTAGCAGCTGAGGTAGCTGTCAAACTCGGTGGCTCATTTGCCTTGACTTACAGTTGTTAAGGGCCCCTGAGTGGTTGCTGGGAATTCCTGTGGTGGTGTGTGTGTGTGAGTGTGAGAATGGCTTTGTTGCAGTGGCTGTGTAACTCTTTCTAAGTTGCCTCCCTTCTCAGGGATGACCTTGGTTGCTGTCTGTGCTTCCACTGCAGAAATAGATAATGTAACGGTAGACGTACAGGTGGGGGGCTGGAGTGCGCGAAATTTAGGCGGGCTGAATGTTGGTTATGGTTGGACTTGGACGGGGGGGGGGGGGGGGGGGCCTGTTTGAACTATGTATAACTTTGGGCCTTGGCGCCAGAACTTTAGTTCTGACACAAAAGTCTTGGCTCGAAACATCTTTATTCCTCAATAAACAAACCACCGCCAGAGAGTGTTGTTGAGAGTAACTTTGTGCAGGAGTCTGACAATAGCCCTCATGCACATGAACATGAGTTTCTGCAATAAGCCTGCCCCCCTGAACTGAGACCCAAGCAGGTTCATACAGGTGAGAATGATCCTTAAAGACTAAAGCTGTTTAGGACTTTTGAAGTAAAAAACAGCAGTCTGAAATTGTGCCCAGAAACAAACTGGGAATCCATGCAGTTGGTGTTACACTGGTTTTGTATGCTCATTGTGGAGGTTCTATCTCTTTTATGATTGATATTTCAGCTAGTGAGACCACTGCAAGTACTAGATCCTTGTTGTTTTCACTGGTGGATATGGTTAATTTCTGCAATAAAATATGCCAGTTAAGAGGTGAGAAAAAGTTGACATTTGAATGGCATGTTACAAATGTCAACAGAATAGTGAATTACAAGCTTTGCTGAAATATACTGATCTACGTACAGCTTCTGGCTATCTGCTTTTCTCATTTGTTTTGTTTCAAGGTCATGCTATGATGCCTTTACAGAAAACATGACGGGTGAAACTCAGCTGCTGGAAAAGAGGAGACAGTACCATTGTGCTGCATATAATTGTGCCATTGCTGTTATTAGCTGTGTGTTCAATGAAAGCAAATTCTACCAAGGCTTTCTTTTCACAGAAAAACCAGATAAGGTATGGATCACAGCAGCATTCCTACAATCCTTTCTTGTGCAGTGGCCAGCCAGTTACTGTGAGGGGCCATCAGCAGGGCACAGAGGCCAAAGTTGTCCCCGATACTGTCTCCCAGCACTGGTATTCAAAGGACTTCTGCCTCTGAACATGGGAGGTTCCCTTTAGTCACTGTGGCTAGTAGCCACTGATAGACCCGTCTTTCATGAATTTGTTAAATCCCCTGAGGATTAAGGGTCCTCAGTGGCTTCTTGTTTTGAGCAGTAGTGATAACAGACTGGTGGGAGGATTGCTTGGGAGTGTCATGTGTGACTTTGCCTCTGCTGGAATGCCTGCCTGCCAGGCTGAGAACTGAAGATTCAGATGGTAGTAACAGCCACCAGTATTTTCAAAGGATTTTGTTGATGTGTTGTATACTAATTGAGTTTAAATTTTCATGTGTTATTTTGCTCTGCAGAATCTATTAATTTTTGAAAACTTGTTGGATTTGCAACATCGTTATTCATTTCCAATAGAAGTTGAGGTATGAGGAAGTTACTGGCTTTTGTGTATCATCGATAATTGCAGTATTTTTTATCCTTTTTATTAGTAAGTAGAATGTAACAGCAATTTAAAATTTTCTTTCAGTTTTTAGAAGGATTAACTCCTCTCTTCAGAGGCAGTCATTCTGTCCTAAGAGGTGCCAGATTATGATAAATGCTATGGGTTTAGACTGGGGTAACTGCAAGGAATTGCACTATGATGACAGGAACTGAGGCAGGCCTGATTAAACTAGTTCCCATATAGCCTGCATGAATTCCATCCTTTAGCCTGATTCATTCCTTCCGATTCTTCAGGGGATGCTCTGTCAGTGGTTCTTCTGCATGCCACCGCTTGGTCCCCACCCTGTAGTCAGGGCCCTCAGTACGAAGTTCATACTGATTCTCATGTCCACAATAGTTGTGTTTCTCTACCGTAATCAATCTAGTGACAAGGAAACTGTGACTGTACTGGTTTAGCTAGCTCTCTGTTTACAGGGCAACACTGAGCATTGTGGCTGTGCTCGGCTAGCTATGACTGACTGTTTAGTGGTGCCTGCCAATTCCCCCCTGCCAATCCCCCCCCCATGGGCACCAGCGGTGAGGACTGAGTGCATCCCAGCCGGCAGGCCCACCGATCCCCCCCCCGCCAATTTTCCCTCACCCCACGGGCATTGGCAGCGAGGCCTGAGTGCCTCCCAGCCGCCAGGCCCAACGATCTCACCCCCCCCCGACGATTCCCCCCGGCACCGGCGGCGAGGCCTGAGCACCTCCCAGCTGCTGGCCGCCGCAGAGTTCCCAGAAAGTTCTCTGTGCATGCGCAGGGAACGCTCTTACTTTTGGGGGGTTTAAATATCCCCTGTACATTTTTTAAAACTTTTTAGATTTTTCTGTACACCTGGGGACTGCCCCAAGTGTGCAGGAAAATCTCCCTGCCCCCCAAGTGCCCCCGATGTGCAGATTTAGATATCTGCACGAAGGGGGAAACTTGGCTGTTAGATATATAGATTCTGTACCTTCACAGCAGTTGGACTGTCAGCTGCATTCTTTCCTGACCAACTAAATATTTAATTGTACCAGGTTAATGAATCACTATCAAAGCCCTCACTGGTAACATTCGCTGTCTTTCCACCTAGGGATGTGCATGGCTAGTAGACACCCCCCATGTCAATGACTATCTGTATTTGATACTTTCTGTGGAAATTTAGCTTTGGCAGCACCTAAATAATCTTTTAATTGTACACCTATTAGTCTGAAAGCAGATTGAATCTTCTTTTAAAATTTTGCATATTCTAGGTTCCTCTGGAAAGGAAGAAACGATATATTGCCATTAGGAAAGATGCCAGGGAAGCAATGAGTGTGGATTCAGGTACTGTTATTTGCTGTTATTAGAAAAACTGTATTGCTGAGGATTTATTTATTTAAAGTCATCAGTGTACATGGTGCTTTGCAGGGTAACATCAGACATCCTCAAAGAGACCCCATTTTATTTTCTGAATTTTGACCATTGGGAAGGCAACAAAGTGCAGGGAAGCAAAACATAGCTAAACTGCTTACTTGTCCCTGAAAGTACTAAGGAAAGTGAGGTTTGGGGAGAAATGTAAAGGAAGGGAATAAGCACTATAAATTCTGGGAGGAAGTTCTAAATTTAGGAGATTAAAATGTTAATTTAATTTAAATTGAAATGATAAATATACAACATTTTCACCAAAAACAAATCCTTTAGTTATGAGAGTGTTCGTAAAAGCACATTTGTATTCTGCATTTCTAATACTTTAATGCACCCTTGGAGCTGTGGTGGCTAAAGTGGTTAAGACGCTGAACTGCAGGCTGTGGAAGGGCGGTAGTTCAGCAGTTCGAGACCCGAGTGTGCCGCATGACGGAGTGAGCTCCCATCCCTAGTTCCAGCTCCTGCCAACCTAGCAGTTCGCAAGCAAGAAATTGCAAGTAGATAAATAGGTACCACTTCAGTGCGAAGGTAACAGCATTTCGTGCACCTTGGTGTTTAGTCATGCCGGCCACATGACCACGGAAACGTCTTTGGACAGCGCTGGCTCTTCGGCTTTGAAACAGAGATGAGCACCGCAACCCTAGAGTCGGATTCGACTGGCTTTCGAGCAAGGGAACCTTTACCTTAATGCACCCTTAGCATGATCCAAATGCTTAAGTCTTATTGAAATTAATAGAATAAGTTAACCAGGGCTAATACGTTCGATTGGATATTTCTAAGTTGTCCATTTTCATACAGAATAAGCAACGTGAAGTAAAGTAACTAAGTGTGAATGCATTCATATCATTCAGTGAGGGGAGAGGCTGATGTATTGCGTGTACATGTAGCATTTCTAGGGGATTGGCTTTTCGGTGTCCTAAGTGGTCTCTTAGTTTAACGAAACTGTTTCTTTTGTAGCTGAGCCACACTATTTAGCTTCTGCGTCATATATGGCAGACAGTAGCCTGAGCGAGGAAATGAGCCAATTTGACTTCTCAACTGGAGTGCAGAGTTTTTCATATAACTCTCAAGACCCTACTGCTTCTGCTTCTCACTTCAGGAGAAAGGTGACTTTCTTTGGGGAAATATAAGTGTGTATATTAATTTCTAGCTTATCTTTTATGGGGTTCATATCTGGAAAAGCTGTCACTTTCTCAGTTGTATTTTTTACACCAGATATAGCATTAAAACTTGTCGCAATGACGAGTTTCTAGACAGCTTGGTTGTATTGGACTGGATCTGGCACTTAACCAGGAGGAAGAAGACTGTGAATTTTTACTGCATTTCCTTGCCCCCCACAATCCCTCCTGTCCTGACCCCTGCAAAGTTAATTTCCTGGGGTTTGCAGGCTCTGTGTGGACAAATACCATGGCTTGGAGACATGCAGCGAGGAGGGGGAAAGGGATGGAATTGCCCCCTTTGCCATCCTCACCACAGCCCTATCCCTGCAGGAAAGGACTGCTGGTGTAAAGAAACACACATAGTACATCATTTCAGTTTAATTTTGTTTACAAAGATCAGTATGGCATTGTCAAAACTAATTGGGTTTGATTTTGTTTTCAAAAGGAGCCCACAGAATCTATGGGTCTGGGTGACATTATGGAATTAGAAATGGATGAGCTCAACCAGCATGAGTGCATGGCCTCTATGACAACCCTGATCAAGCACATGCACAGAAATAATATCACACCCACAGTAGAAAAGGTCAGTATCCGTTTGTAGCTTCATATGTAGTAAACACTGTACCTGTTCCTTGGTCTTCTAGTAGGACTGCCAACAAAGGGGACCTACAACAAACTGTTGCATGGAGGGAAATAATGATGCTCCTTCCCTGAAGCAGAAGGGCAAGAGAATCTTTTCCATCAGTGGAGGAACTTATCCTTTAATCTTGAGTTGTGCCTCCTCCATGCTTCGTGGGCAGGGCTTATGCAAGTGAATTTGGCACGGCTTCCTCATCGTTTGGAGTTGGACACACGCACGCGCGCACACACACACACACACACCGGTTCATGTCTTGCCTGCTATACAAGGTTCCTCTGTTCACTTGCTTAAAAGGGAGAAAAGAGAGCAAGAAAATAAAACAAAAAAATGCCGAAACACAAAGTCAGCCACCATCTCCTCTGCCTCCTACCGAATTGCAACAGTGACAGGGACAAAAAGAAATACTTTCACTCTCATCAAGAGTGCCTGGCCTTGCCGGGAGCCGGGCTGTGGCTAGGACCCAACATTACCGCTCATCCTGTTTCGAAGCAGTCTCGTGCCTCTGCAGCATCAGCCAGCTCCTCAGCAGTTGCTCCTCTCTTCATTTGGGACAGAGAGCACACAGCCGGCCCTCTCCTGATCCAGGGCTTTGGCAAGGCTGAATGGCGAAGCCCACCCCATCACCATTCAGCAGCTGTCTTCTCTCCTTCACGTTTCATAGGCACCAGCAACTGTCGGCACCTCCTGGGCATTTCTCCCGTCCTGCCACCATGGAAATGGATCAAGGAGGCAATGAGAGGGGGCAGTGGCTCAACATTAAGTGGCTACATTAAGTCGTCCTCTGACTCCATGGCTTCTGAAAGGGATGAGGGGGAGATTGGTCAGGAGACGATACCACAGCTTCATGCCCAGCTTCCCCCCAGACTGTTTCATCAGGAGGACTTTGTGTATCTTTTGGGAAAGGACACTTCGGGCTTGAGATTTTCTATACAGACCCCCTTCCATTACCCCCTCAGGTCACCATTGATTGAGGCTACTCCAGATTTTTTCACCAACTTACATCTCCTTCCACTGTGCCCTTTCTTGTCCACTTCATTGCGGCCCTCCATAGTGATTAGGCCGCCCTGGGAAAGGGGAGAATCCTGTCATCCATTGCAAAACAGATGTACTCATTGCCCTCCACCACCATGAAGGTTCTCAAGGTAGACACCACAATCGCTGCCTCATTTCTGTTGTTGTTCTTCCCAGGAATGGAGACAGCACTCTCAAAAAATCCCAGGCCCATGAAACCTCAGCCTTGACTTCAGAGCTAGCTCTGTTTCTTTTGTCTTCTCCGTGACCTCTCCCTTCCAGACAGAGGAATTTTTACAGGACCCAGCCTCTGACCCAGTCAGAATTGATTAAAGATCAAAAGGGCTTCTGAATTCTCAAGAGATGCCAGCCTGGGTGCTAGAAGATGCCAGTTCTCTGGGTGTACTCTAGCTTCTAACATTATTTGTCTCATTCTGTGGCTGAAGTGCTGGAAAATAGATCGCCTTTGGAATGTCCTTCCCCCTTGAGGCTCACTGGGTGCCTGCTTTACTTTCTTTTAGGTGCTGGGCTAAAATAGATCTTTTTACTCAGGTTTTTAGTTAGAAGTTTTTTCTTATCAGCTTTTTAGTGGTCTGCTTCTGGTTTATTCTGGCTATTAAAGTCCAAAGGCTTGTTTTTTAATATTGTGGTTTTTAATTGTAAATGGCCTCAAGCAGGACTCTGAAGAGGTGGCATAGAAATATTCTAAATAAATGAAAAAAATTGCATAAGCCCTGCCTGTGGCGCAAGGAGAAGCCGTAACCCAGTACTAAATATCACTTATACTAATAGCCAAGTCGCCCCGTGAGTGCGGATCGCTAAATCCGCGCTCAGGAGCGACCTGGGGGGCAGGGAGATTTTTGTGCACTCTTGGGGCAGTCCCCAGGGGTGCACAAAAATCCTAAAACTTGAAAAACCTTTCGGGGGGATGTTTAAATCCCCCCGAAAGTGCAAGAGCGTTCCGTGCGCATGCGCACGGAACGCTCTACGAACGCCGCCGCCGCTT